ATGTCTGTTGTGGAAACCTCACATCCTATGGGGAAAACTGTTTAATACTGGCTGGGGGGGAGATGCCACCGGGAACCGGTGGTGCTGGAGGGCAGGAAGCAGGTTTGCCCGTTGTTCCTTGGAGATCCATCACGAGTGGGTCGCGCTGCCCTGCCAGAGCTGAGTTTTCTTTCCGGTTGTTGCAGGAACCTGTCTGAACCCGTCATGACGTACAAGCTCCACAAAGAGTTGGTCCTGGCTGCCAGTAAGTCCCGCAGCTGCCCTGCCCGACAGTCCCTAGCCCTGCTCTCCCCAACCAGTGTACATCAAAATCACTTGACAGAGCTCTGCCAGCCCGACAGTGGGGTGTCTGGCTGCTTCCCCCTGTAGAAAGAGGAGTGACTCTCTCTTCTGAGTGCTTAATTGTGCAAGGGAGGTGGTGGTATTTCTTCCCTTCTTTCCTTTGCTGTTGTAGTGCTCTTCCCTCTAACAGGTTTTCATGCTCTCGGAGGGTCTGGAGAGCCAGGGGATGTCAACTAACCTGAAATCAGCACAAGTGTCCCAGAAGAATTGTTTCTCAATAGTATTAATATATTTATTTTAAAACCTGTGAGGGAATGGGGTGTGCTGTTGCCACGCAGATAGATAGGTGCTCCCTTTAGGTCATGAAATCTGTCCTGGAATGTTGAATCCAAAGCGTCTTCCAGTACATGAAAGACATTTTTCTGCTGCAGCTCTTGGGACTGAGACACAGCCAGTATTAGTGGAGATTAGCAAGTAACATGGGTATACTGATAGGGCATCAACTGTGCTAAACCAGCCAGTCCTCGGCTGTCCTGTTGTTACGGCCATTTCAAATAAGCCATAATAATTTCGAACTGGCTTCATCCTCAGAGCGTGTTGAGAGCCAGCATGCTGAGATGGAGACTAGAGGGATACAGGGAGTTGGTCATCTCCCTCAGCATGAGAGTACTGGCATTTGGAAATTCATGGCACACTCAGAAACACTTTGAGTTAAAGCATCCTGCACACCCCCATGCCTCCTTGAAGTCAACGGGGAGGGTAGGAGAGCGCCCGCCTCTCCTCAGTTTGGACCTCTGGAGAATTAATAACACTTGTTCTTTCTTGGAAAGGAAAATTTTCCACCACCTACTGATTGTGCTCAAGCCCAAGATTTATTAGTTTCAGAACTGGTTAAACCAATGATGGCTGGGTATGTGCAAAACCATAATCCCTTCCCTACCCTCCCCCAGAAACTTGCACCATTAAGCTTCCCAGCTACCAAGATCCCACACTATTCTTTTCACACCGAGTATTTTATTGTTTCTTGATTATTTATGCTTCTAAGGGTGACCTCTTTGGGTCAGGGACTCAATTTTTTTCCCTGCAGGATGTTTTACCGCGTTGTTCAGTGTTACAGCTATCTGGGCTGATAAGATACCCAGCAGAGAGGCCGTGTGTTCCCCAGGTGTGCTGGTGTGCGGGGCGAGGGTGCAAAGGGGAGTACCCAGCCATGCCGAGCCTGTTTCCTTGGCCATGCTCAGAGGCAGAGTGTGACCCTGAGCTCCCTTTCAAGCTTCATTTCTCCCTCTTTCCACTTCATTTTGTTTCTCACAATGATTGCCCTGTTGCTATGTAATCTCACTTTACTTCTGCTTCCCATCACCGGGTTGGGCCAGCCAGCCCTACGTTGCAGAAGGAACAGCTCCCACAGATTTTCTTTGGCTTTATCTTTCTCTTATGTATTTACTTTGAAAGTGGTGGGCACAAACTTTTCTTTGTGTTACTTCTTTCCAGAATCTGAGAACCTGGATTACAGGCTAGGAGCCATTCACGCGCTGGTCTATAAACTACCTGACAAGAACAGAGAGATGTTAGAGCTCCTCATACAACACCTCGTCAAGTAAGCAGATGTTTTTCTCTAAAGCCAAAGTGAGGGGAATAATGGAATCAGCAGAACAAGCCTTTTTTTGTGGCAGGTTTGAAAATTGTATCCGCCACAGTCCCCCTCGGAATTTACATTTGGATTGCACAAATGGTATGATTATCCTTGTTACCCACTGCATTAAGTGATGCTTCTCTTTCTAATTGCCACTTTCATCCCCTTTCTGAGAAGCACCAAGCAGGAAATAATTTTAAAATGAAAATACCCTCTGACAGCAGAGCTATAAATTGTCACCTCTCACTCCAGTTAACAAGAACGTTAGTTCTGGTGTTTGGGAACGGCTGTAGGACCTGTGCCCATGGGCTAAACATGAAGCATGCTTTGGTTTTATCTCCAGCTCTATGGATTCAATGTCCTGAGCCCTTGGAGCAGCACGAAGGCTTAAACGTGTCAGTCTCTGTTCTCATACAGGCGTGTTGGATGCTTGGTGGCACTGAGCAGCACTGCTTCCACGTGCTTCTGCCAGTGAGCCACTGAAAAAGTCTGTTACTTGATGATAATGGCACCAGCAATGCATTGGGAAATGGCTATTTTCGGGCCTCCATGTCACACTGAATGCAAAGGCTCAGCGTGGAAGCTCTGCCCTCTCCACCCCAGGGACGAGCAGGGGCGCAGCGGGGAGAGAGGCTTGTGACAAGCCATGCTGAAGTTCAAAAGCAAGGGAGCAATCTGTGTGCAGGTCAGGAAGGACCAGGGCTTGCAGAAGCAATGGCTTTTGTATGACAGGGCTTGCTTTGGACCTCTGGAGAAGTTGTTTCCAAAACCGGACTGTTTCAGAAATACCCCAGGGCTGACCTGGGGTTGTCACGCCCTGGCACTGGAAGGCGAGTGCTTGGCCCCTCGGTGCCATGCCCCCTCTTTGGGGCGAGGAGGGCTGGCTGGGGGATCCTGCCTGCCATGCGGTTCCAGCCTTTCACGCACATGTTTGTGTGGGTTTTAGAAACCTTTCTGTGTAAGTGGCAGAGCTGCGAGTGTCTGGCGTGCGGTCCGATGAAGCTAATGCTGTACTTGTGGTCACTGTGTTTATTCCTTAAAGTGTTTACACTTACATTCTGTTCCCTCTGCCCTTCGTGCTGACAGAAACCTCTTTAACACCAGAGCTACAGGGCAAACCCAGAATTCATTATGTGTCAGCATCAGAGTCTCTCTCCTCTGGTCCACTTCTGGAAACAGGTAGTGCCCGCCTAGGTGGTTATTACTTCAGTCAACAACCGGTGCTGCTCCGCAGGCTTGCGTGTTCCTCCAAAACTTGAAGGCTGCTGGACAGAGAGGGCTCTGTTCTGTGAAAACGGTGGTTCTTTCAGAAGGAAGGTGCTGTGTAGAGATTTACTGAAAAACTCCAAAGTGTGCCTCCTTCGTTCAGTCCTCCTTCAGAGAGAGGAAAAACTAAAGCCAAAAGTCACTTCTGGATAAATAGGATATTCTGATTTAAATTATTCCTTTTGTGTGTGTGTTGCACAGACGACTTTTGATTACAGAGTTCAAAGATGAGCTAGGAGTGGGATCAAATAAAAATACTGTCAGCATGTTGCTCTCCCAAACAGTTGTCCGAGCCAAAAGTGCATGTCGTAGCTAGGGACATGTTTTATCTCTGGTAGCGTTGGGAAACAAATCCTGCTGAAACAAAATGAAGAAAATTGAATGAACGATTCTTACTGTATTCTTTTTTTATTGCTTGGAATAAGATCTGTTTGAAAAAAAAAAACAAACCAAACCAAAACCTACTCCTTCTTTCCCTCCTCTCCGCAGCATATGTGAGCACAGCCGAGAGAATCTGATGTCACCTTCTAACATGGGGGTGATATTTGGACCTACCCTCATGCGAGCACAGGAGGACACCGTGGCAGCGATGATGAACATCAAGTTCCAAAACATAGTAGTTGAGATCCTCATCGAGCACTTTGGGAAGGTACAGGTGGCAGCCCCGGGAGCGCCTCTGCGCAGCTCCTGGCTGCTCCATCGTGTTCGTGCAAACTGTTGCTGTGGCAACGATGTAGAGCTCTGGCTCCTTTTTCTGGAGTCTCCTTAGGGGCTGGGGTTTTTTTTTTTAGAATATACTGTTCTGAAATGCTTCAGAAGGAAACAAAAAGTGTAGCAGATATGCTCCTCACTGTTGCCTTTAGCTAGTTCTGAAGGAAACCCTGAGTCTAGGGTTTTTTGCTTTTCTTTTTAAGTAAGAGGAATCTTTAATGAAAAAAACCTATTCTATGCCCGGACATTACAGGACTTTACGCTTTCCTTTGCTGAAGACAGGATCTAGACCAGAGCATAACTGGTTTCAGCAGGCACAGTCCAAGATGAGACGCTATACAACTATTAATACAGGGGGAAAAAAAACCCAAAGCAGACAAGTATTGAAAGGTTGATGAAAATAATTCAGCTGTGCATACGATCTGTTCAGATCCAGCTGTAGGGATGGTGTGGGCAAGTCTGGGGAGGGGAGCTGCTGCCTGGGGTTGAGCAGTCAGAGAAGACTTCAGCAAGCGGCCGGTGCCTGTTGTGTTGGGGCAGTGCTCTGCATAGGGCAGTGCACCCTGGCGAGGGCTCCAGCAGCATTTGCCTTTCATGGGATCTTTGCTGGGTATTTTTGTCTGAGAGCATTGCCTAAATGCACAGTCTGGATTAGTCTGCTGTGGTGGGTGCTGAAGATTTGCATGTAGACAACAGCTTTTTGTCGTGTGGCGTTTTGTCTCCTGATGGAAAGCAGAATATTCCACTGTCTTCTGTATTAGCGCTTTCTCCTTGTGATATCTGATACAATGACTTAGGGTTTTCAGGGTGGCTGGAGGATGATAGAGCTGTATGTTAATATTTAGAAACTTGAGCAGTGTTTGCATTCAGATCAGCGTATGGGACCAGATTGCTTTCCTGATAATAGCACTAGGTTCGAAGGAGTGAGTTTGGTCCTTCAGCTTTTCATAATACTTTACATTACAGTGTCCAAACAATCTCTTACATCTTAGAGGTAGGGAAAGTTTGAAGCCATCCCTTAAAGGATGTTGTTTGCTGTGAGGAGGATGGAGTAGCGCTCCCAGCAGACAGGGCAGCACACGTGCAGAAGTGAAGCTCCCTTTTCGGGAAAGGAAGAGGAGGACGAAGCTGAAAGAGCAGGGTCCTTGCAACAGTGGATGTGGAGTCGGAGCAACCAAACAGGGACCAGATGGGTGGCATGGGAGTCGGTTGTGGTGCTGAGGATTGAAACCAGAGAAACGGGATGAAAGAGCTCAGAGAGACTTTTGAGTATCCACGCAAGAAGCTCATGAAAGTCACAAGCCAGTTTCTTTGTAGGACTCTGCAAATGCTTTAAATAAGTTCCCACAGCAAAACAGGGAATCGTTTGGGTGCTGGGGTCCTTGCACAACTTGCTCCAGAACTGAGCCTCTGTCCTCCCCTCTTGTACAGCCTGCAATGCAGGCTGAGTCAACACACAATTTACACTGCCACCTCTAAGAGCTGGAATTAAATCTTTAATTAAGCCAGACATCTCTCTGCTTGCTTTTAATTTCTTCAGCAATAAGGTTAAGTAAGTAACATTTATTAGATTGAGCTTGTAAGTTCAGTGTCAGTGCTGAAAGTGTCTTCAGCTCACACATGAGCAAACACTCTAAATGAGTCTGGAAGCATAGAGGGATATGGTTTATGTAGTGCAATATGAAGACTCTAAGGACAAAGTAACTATTCATGAAGTCTTTGTGGATATTTACTGTTTTCACAGCTTATATTTCAGTGCCACGGTTAAATTAAATAAGTTGATCACTCTGGAAGCACCTTCTTCACTGTACAAACCTTCTAAATATGAGGGTCTGTCAATATCTTTGTATCTTCAAGTTCTTTAACTTGGATGTTCATTTAGAAGGCAGAAGCAAAGCAGAGGCTGCACCCACATCTTAAAAACAGTAGTTTGTGGTGGGTTTTAGCATGGTTTTCAGATGTTGAAAAGCATCTTGTGAAAACAGCATTCTGTGGTACTTGTATAAGCATCCATGGGGAACTTAACACTTTTTTTTTTTCTTTAAAAAACAATATTGGAAACTTGTCAATATATAGGAATGAAGTTGCTTCCAAAAAATTGCCTTGCTGCAGGTAAACCTTTGCTATTTTAATAATACACGAGCTGCAGCTTTTAAATCATGGGCTGTTAATGTCACACCAAATTCCTCTGAATCCAGGCAGGGGGAATGCACCGGACCTTGTATTCTGGAGTGGGGAAAATGTACTGCCCCCACAAAGGGCAGAGCCCCTGCTGGCATTAAGCATCAGCAGCCACCCCGTGTCACCGAATCCGGAAGGAAAAGCAGCTGAAATGATGAGATCGGGGTTTGGAGCTCGTCTGGGTCTTTGCCCTAAATGCCCCAAGAGGAGCTGCACGGGCGGCTGCAGAGTGTGTCGTTCCTTCTCCCTTCATGCAAAGTAGAGCAGACTAAGTCAGGAGCGAAGCCCGCGTACCAGCACACTGTATTTATACCGCGTGAAAGCCTGGGCAGACTAGGCGAGGCGCAGCTCAGGTCCGACCTTGCCCCTGCGCTGGCCAGGCAAGAGAGGTATGGGGAGCCCGGCTGCAGAGGTGGCCAGTGCCCCCCCTCACCGTGGTACACGCTACCTGGTCTTTGGGATCACGAAGGTTAAAGTGGGGGCATGTTTCTTCTCTCTCATCCTCCGTCTTGATTTCCCAGAACTGCTCTTTGGCTGGGAGAAGAAAGAACATGCTTTTGGTTTAAATTACAAAAATGGCGTACTTAATCAAAATCAGAATGTTAATTTCTTCATTTAAAAATTTTTCTGGGTGACACGATAAAATTGTTCTTCCATAACAAAGCGTGAAACGAGGGAGTGGTGACCCTGCTCGTCGATTGGGTCTGGTGTGAGCTCTCGTCCTCTGGGCTTGAGGCGTCTCCTGCTGACAGCCGGGAAGGGACCAGCTCCGCGTTCTCCCAGGACGGGCAGCACAGCCTCGGGTCTCGGCAGCCCGTGCCACCCCGTCCGTAGTAACTCACTCTTTAAAGCCTGATGTAAATTCAATTAATATCCATGGGAAAAACGCAAGAGCAGTTGGTTTTGGTCCTTAATGTGGTGTTTCAGATCTTCAAAGAGACTGCCCAGAGGCTTAATTCTTTTTCAGCTCTTAAAAAAAGCACTGACATAAATAAGAACCTCTAAACTAAACCCAACCAAGTAGGTGCCATATGACCAGTGAGAAAAGGAGATAAAACTCTTTAGCAGCATTGTTTTTATGCCAGCATTTCATCCAAGATAATTTCATAGTGCCACACACTTCATTGTAAGCCAAGAGCTGAAGGGTTTTTAGCGTTAAATCTAAAACAATGCAGTGGTTTGTTTGGGTGCTTTCTGTAGATTGTATCACCTCGCTGGTGTGGAAATCTTGATGTTTTTCAGCACCTGTCAGCTTCAAAGCTTCCTTCATCTGCTCCAGGATAGTTTGCTTCTACACATTGTGTCTGTATTTGTGATTTTGCTGTGTTAATTAGTTTAGCGCTGCAGTTGCTGCAGTGGGTGTGCAAGGTGCAGAGCAGGCAGCCTGTCGGTAGGAAAGCCCGTGGCAGGACACATCTGTAGAGCCATAACTAAAGCATCAGCCCTGCTCCAGCCCCTCTCTAGCACTGGCAGCCGGGGCTTTCCCGGGTGCTGCTGACCCTTCAGAGCAGCTGCTGCGCGCTGTCTGTCCCTCGCCAGGGAGGCTGGAGGAGCTGGTGTCGCAGGGCTGGAGCAAAGGGCGGTGAGGGCCCCGCCAGGCTCTCGTGGGCTGCGGCTGGTTGGGATGCTTTGGAGCAGCCCTGGCTTTTCCAGCCCTCCTGGGTCAGTCAGAGGTGACTCGGGCCACAGACGGCTTCTGTGCATGCTGGAAGGCAGAGAGGAGCAGGGCAGCCCTTGGCAAAGGCAGCGGGTGGCCGCTTGCCGTGCGGGAGCTGGGTCTTTGCTCCTGGCGTGGCTCAACCGCCAAACTCCTTCCCAGAGCTGAGGGACCTGACGGCTTCGAGCACGGCTGTGGCATGCTGTCCTCGGAGGGCTGCCCGACACGCCGGCGCGGCGCCTGGTGCAGGGGTGTTTCTGAACCATGTGCTGCTGGAGGCTGGGCAGGGCCATGGGGAAGGTGTCGGTGGTGGACACCATCCACCTCTGTGCTGGGCGGGTGGACCTTTGGCTGGAGGTGAGGCAGCAGCCCCTTCACATCAGGCTGGGTCATCTAAACGTGTCTACCTTTACAGATCTACTCCGGCCCCCCAGAAGACACCACCGCACCCCCGGTGCCTCCTCCCAGGGTGGCTGCCCGGCGGCACAAACCCATCACCATTTCCAAACGTCCTCTGAGGGAAAGACCTGTCTTCTTCGGTGCTTCTGTGGAAGAAAGTGGAGGTCAGTCCAGCTGGTCACTGATGCCTTACCTGCATCTCACCCCTCCTGTTTCTTTTAACACCTTTCCAGCAGCAATGGAGATAACGATAGCAGGACTGTACGTCCCAGGCCATGAACATGGCAGACAGTGAGATCTGTTGTTCAGTGAGAAAGGAAAGCAAAAAAATACTCACACATAGGTTGCATCATCTCACAACTCAGACTCCACTGGGATTTTTTTTCTTTTCTCTTGCTTGCAGCGTTCTCTGTTAGCTAAACTAAGACTGGATTTTGCCTGTGAGAAGCCCAGTGGAGAGGTTTTGTAGCTTCAGAGGCAAAAATGCAAAGTGATGCAAATGCAACTGAGGAGCAGAGTTGGTGGGGTGGGAGCGAGTGTGCCCGGGCTGGGGGTTGGCTGGGTGCTGCTGGAGTCTTGTCCTGCCAGAGTGCATCAGTCCCGAGAGGGTCTGCGGGGCTGGCTTAGCTGCTGGCGATTTTACATCCAGAGCAAGAACACTGAAGCACTTTTTCAGGACCCAGTGATAGTATTTTCTAGACCAAGTACAACTCTGCTGTTAAGTTCATATGATTGTAAGGAAATGATAAGGCCCTTATTATCATGTCGAAGGGCATGTCAATTTAAAATCATGTTTTTCTCTGCACCCGATTTCCTCTAATTGTCGTTGCAATCTGTGCCCTAGATCACATCATCACCAAAGAGATGAAAAGTCTTTTACTCTATTACGGTTTTCAGAGCTTTGATGATGTTTTAGGCTTAATACTACAAGTGTACTTTTTGGCACTGGCAAAACATGATTGATTCAAATTGCTCTTTAAAATCACAAGACTGCTCATGTAATTAGAGATGGCCTTGCATTTAAATGTTTCTCCAAACTGGGAGCAGAAGCATTAGCATTTGTCTGCACCAAGGTTGCAGGGTACAATCAGTTTCATAGCAGCGCTTCTGCATCCTGTGCGTGGGTCTCTAGGACAGCAAGAGCGATGAGATGCATGATTTTTGGAGGGACATAAAAGTATGGTACACAACTTCTCATGAGCAAAAGTACTGGAAATTTAAAAGAAACCCGTAGTATATTCTGTTATATTCAGCATTGTTTCAGTTTTCTTTATTCCTCAGCATTTGCGTGAGCCACTTGCTGTTTGCGTTTTGCTCAGAGTGAGGAACCATCACTGCCAAAGCAGGCGTCTCCTCCAGGCTCCCCGCCGTGAGTGTGCTTGTCCCGCGGAGCTGCAGGAGCTGTGCAGCTCTGGGGGAGAGCTCTGCACTCCCGTGGGGCAGAGACTGCGACGCTTCCGCGCTGCTTCCTAACCCGATGGCTATCTGTCCCCTTGGCTCCGCAGAAAACCGGCACGGCCAGACCCCCAACGGCAGC